GGGGGGGAAAAGAGAATTGAGGGGAGCCCCCCCCCCCCGCCAACATGTGAAGAGCAACACTGGCACTGAGCTTACCTACTGTACAGCAGGACTTAACAGCCTCTTCCCAATGAACTAGGCACCAGGCTTACTACAGTAACCTCTATGCAGATAGCAGTCAGTAATGTCACATTGAGGCTTCACTGTCACCAGGAGCGCATTTTGCCATTAACTTTGACGAGAGCATGCTCAGGCTTTTGGAGCCAATCCTGCATCTGGGATTCCATCAACACAGAAGAAAGAAAAATGTTTGCGTATCAGGTTCCAAAAGACTGTGAGGGAGATCCTAGTATCAAGGAGGCTGACGCTCAGGCAAAATTATAGAGGAAGGTGGTTGAGGTACTGCACGCCTTCTCCCACTCCAGGACCAAATCGCCAGCATATTTCGCCTGTGCTTAATGTGCTAAGCGAGTAGTTCAATCCTATTAATCATTAATCCCAGCCAATCTGGCACAAGAAGTGCCAATTGGTAGTCACAGATCCCAACCTGGTAGTGTGGGGAACTCACATCCCAAACAAGTCGGTGTATCCCATCAAAAGCCACCTAGATATACCTTGCTTCCTCCAAGGTACACACGTCCTCTTATTTCCAGGGATTCACTCACTCTTTCCTTTCATGGGACCTCTCATTGGTTCTCAAAACTTTAATCTCTGTTCCTTTCAAATCTGTCAGTCAAATTCCCATTAACATCTTTGCCTGGAAGACAGCAGCTATTTGGTAGGCCCAACTTTAGCCAGAAAGCTGGGAGAATTAGGAGCTGTCTTAATAAGAAGAAATCTATATATTTCCCTCAAGACCCTGTGGGACTAAGACCTTCCTTCACGCCCAAAGTCAGTGCTAAATTCCATCAAGCGCAAGAGATCGTGCTCCCGTTTCGGCCTGGCCCTTCTCTCCTATGAACCTGACACAAGCTAGAATATACCTCAAGTGTACTCTAAAGGATGGAACTTGCTTGTCTCCTAGGAAACAGGAAAGCTGGGGAGAGAAGTTCCATGATCCACCACCAACAGAAGGATTAGAGAATACTGTGTTCTCGTGCAGGGGTTTTCAACCTTGGCAACTTTAAGATGTGTGGACTGCAACTCCCAGAATTCCCTAGCCAGCATGCTGTGTATTGCATGTGCAATGCACATAAAAAGGGCCAGGGCTTTGTGTGGTTGTGGCTGCCATCTTGACTTTTTTGACACCCTCTGAGTACCCCAGTAGTTTCCTATGGTGTCTGAGCCAGAAGCTTGTGGCTTAAATGACTTAGGAAAATCAAAATGTCAACCCAAGATTAAGTTAAAATATGTACTGAAAGGCACTTATTTTAATACGTGCTTAACATGTTGAAGTTCGTTTTACAAATCACAGCTTTATTCTTGACTGTGAAGAGCAGTTCAGTATGCTATTTGCTTCAAAGGGGACATCCTGGTTTGTAAGCTGACGAATGTATTACTCTTTGGCAGGAGCAGGGACAGTAACTCTGGTTACACGCCAAGTGTCTGCTTGGGCTTGTAATTCAGCAACGTCTGCCCAACCTGTTCCCTGCTTTACCAGAACAGCTAATTAGAAATTTTTACCGAAATAAATCCATCTAATTAATTTTCAAATTGAAATATGACATGTAATTTGAAAGATTACTATGTCAATCCAATGTCAGAGGCTGGTGGCATGCAAAACTGGGGGTTTTAAATTGCTGTGCTTAATTAAAAAGACATATTTCACTTTAAAGGAAAAGAGCACACCTGTTTTGTAATGTAGCCACTCTCACAGGAAAAGGTACATTGGCCACCACTCTGTTGCCTTTTCTCTTCACAAATGCCATGCAATAATTGCTGTTTTCATCGCTGCTTAAGTCCTAGGCCAGCATTTCTGCCGGATCCTAACGATGGAAGTCTCTACACTCTTGGTGGCAAGAATAATGAAGGCTTAACTGTACGTATAGTTTGACCACAAAGGAATGATTTTGTTGTCACTGAATGAGAAACACAGTTTTGCAGATGAACAAAGCATGTTTATCCACTTCGCCTTGCTGCTTAAGGGAGGTCTCTTTTGACAGCCTCTGTAAAATTCTGATTTTATGAGAAATAATACTGGACAAGAAGCATACATACAGTAACTTTCAAGATTTTTTTTCCTAAACAAAAAATGTTGGTTTTTTTTTCTTTCCTATATTATATAAAAGTGAACCCTCACTTGGAGGGTTTGGAGTTATCACACATTTGGAGTTATTTTTTAAGAAAAACTGGGAAGCTGCAAGATTTCTGTAAAATGGTTTATCTCCAAAGATAAACGTTCATTTCTGTCCCTGAGAGAGCTGTTCTACATTCATAAATGTATCTGTTGTGGAAATTTCTGTGTGTCACCTTATAGAAGATTCAGAGGCCTACAGTATGATTATGCAAAAATGTCTTTAAATACTGTAACCCATCTCAATTGCAGATCAACGAGTAGTTGGAAGAAGAGCAAAAAGGGTGCACAAATGTTGGGACAAAATGTCTCCATTGCAGCTTGATTAACCTGGGTTTGTTTACGGCACATGGTGATAGACAATCCCATCTACTGTGGTTTGTAAGCTGTGGCTGCTTTCTTGGAATGGCTTTGCCAAGCCAAAACAAACCACATTGTTTTAGGATTATATGTGATCTAGTTTTCTTATTAGAAGGTTGCAGATGTACTTGTTTGGAAAATAGTTTAAAAATTATCGAAATATGTATGACATTTATGCAACCCAAATAGATCTGGTATTCACAACAGGAAATCCTGAGCATTTTTATTTATTTTTTTTATTTTTTATTTTTTTACTGCTGGGCACATGTATTCTCCCTAGATCCATAGTGGTATCTGTTGTCTTAGTCAGCTAACCAGGTCCACAATACTGAAGTTGTAAATTTTTGTATCTGCACTGAAGTGCCGGTTTTCTCCTGATGAAGTTTTTGCATTTACCAGAATATTGCACAAGTTCGGTAATTGTCTAAGAAGCTTATCTGTTGGTGCCAACTTTAGGTTTCTAATTCCAGGAATGAATACACCCAGGTGGTGATGCCAATGTGTCTGGATTCCCAAGTTCCTGGTTTGGAGGCAGGGAAAACTGAATTCGGAAAGTTCGTTGTTGTCCTGAGGAAAAGGATTTTGGCTTTGTAATAAGTCTCATAAATGGTTTGGCTTATTTTTCAATTACACATGCAATATTGAAAGAGATTAAATGGACTTGGGAGCATCTTCTGATGGGTCAGCCAGGCAGTTGATTATGGTCTCAAGGAGATCAGCAAGCAAACATAAGAAAAATCCAACCTATTCCAAGAGAAGTTATGTGTCTGGGGTAGCTGCCTCAGTTCCAGTATTAATGTCAGAGCGCAGTGCCTCTGTCATTGTTTTCAAAGTACATAAAGTGTTAAACAGGGCTGATGTGATCATCTGAAAGATTTCTGTTGCTTAGTTACTTAAGAACAGCAGCTTTGTGATGAAATAGAGATTAAATTTGGCTTCCTATCAGGTTTTTTTTTTTTTCCTCCTGAAGCTGTTATGGCTTCCTCTTATAATTTTGAAAAAACTGTATTTCCTCCCAAATGCCTCTAAAGGCACAGTGGTAACAACGTTTTCTTTAAGTTGGAGGAAAGTGCAATCTCTTTGCATCTGAAATAAAAGAAAATAGCTGATGGGAAAAACCTTTCTCTGGGAATTTTGAGTGGGAATTGCAAAACATCTGAAAAGCAGCAAGTTGGGGAAGGCTGAAATAGGCAGCACGAAGTGAAGAAATAGTTTTTCATATATCTATCTAAAGTCAAACCTTTTCTCCGTTTTCTGGGTAGGTGACAACCGCTTCTAAACACTGTTTTGTTAGCACCTGCAGCCCTTGGAGTGTCAAAAAGGCATCGCTTTAGATCTTTGAAGCACACTGAGGTCCTGAAGGTGGCAATTATGCTAGACTTTTCATCTTCCCACAAGAAAGTAAAAATCACAGCGTGTTTAGAAATAATTCTAAAATACACCTTACTCAAGTGGTTTGGTATGCTCGCACCAATTTCTTTGGAAGATTCAGATCTGTTTCGTAGCATATTTCACCTCAGCACAGGAAATATTTATTTTCCTGCCCACAGACCTAAAATATGAAACGTGAAGTACTTTTTGTGATCTTGAACTTTTTGACTGTGCCTTTTTATTTTTTTATTTTTTCAATCTTTCTCCATATACACGGGGAGTCAAAATTGCTATTTTTGGAAGTTAAGCTCTTCCCACAAAGTTACACTTTTGACTGAGGTATGGATCATTTTCACTGCAGTTCCTTATAAACTAGACGGCACCCTTGCTGCGCTGAAGCTCTTGAAATCACACCCCATGTTTCATCTCATCATTTTTACTGAATTGCTTTCTCCTTGCAATCCCTTTAGTAACAAAATTCTCGGGCACTTGTATTTCAGTCAGAGAATAAATAATTCATCAATTTCCTTAAATGTTGCAATATTTTGTTTTGTGGCCTGAATAATCTGGCAAAGGTTAATGAGCTAAGAGAGCCAGTTTGGTGTAGTGCTTAAGCCAGGCTAGAAAACGGAAAGCCATGAGTTCTAGTCCCGCCTGAGGCATGAAAGCCAGCTGGGTGACCTTGGGCCAGTCACCCTCTCTCAGCCCTAGGAAAAAGAAGGCAAGGGCAAACCACTTCCAAAATCTTGCCAAGAAAACTTCACAAACCTGTCATTGTAGTCACCAGGAGTCAATATTGACTTGAAGGCACCCAAAAAAAAAAAAAAAGAGCTAAGGGCAGAATATGTGTCATCTTATTGCTCTGTAGTATTGTCTGCCAATTGCTATTATGTTGGTCACTCAGGGACCATAATAATGGTGATCTATCTATCTTGACTGTATTGCACATAAAAGCACAATATGTGAACTATGTAGAGAACTTTCTCTAGCCGTGTGTTCTCCAGATGTGTTGGGATTGCAAATCCTAGAATTGCCAGATGGCATAGCAGCTGGCAAAGGCTCTGCAATCAGAGGGTAGCATGGGTGTGAGACTATGGTTACAAATATACCAAAGTGCCTCTGTTTTTATCTCTAAAATGTTAAAGTTGTACATTGCTTTTTTCCTATACCATATTAAAATCCTACATTAAGTTACTTTACTCCTGTCATGACCAACCTGCTTGACTTTAGATACCACATCTTTATAGTGGTATATATGATGCGTAAGTTGTGGTTTTGTGATACAAAGGCTGTGAGGATAAGATATGTGTTGCTTGTGCAAACAGGTATCCAGTGTGTAAATGTCACATAAACTAGATGAGGATACTGTGTGTTCTTCCAAATGATTTGGGTTTGACCTTCTGTACTGGGTTTTGGTAGCAGGATAGTCAGTGCTGAAAGTGTGCCCTTTGGCTTTCGCTTCTCAACACTGGAGGTATCTCATTTCTGGAGGTACCCAGAGTAGGAGCATTGGATACCGATTGGGAAGATCAAGGTTGAAATCCAAGATGGGGCATTCAGCCCATCAAGTGATCTTGGGCTGGTCCTTGGTTCTTAGCTTTACAAGGTTATTGTGAGCGTAAAATACAGAGGTCTGTATATGCTACCCTGAACTCCTTTGAGGAAGTACAGGACTAGATAAATAACTACATTTAAAAGATAGGTTACTTTTGTATTGTCGAAGGCTTTCACGGCCGGCATACGATGGCTGGTGTGGGTCTTCCGGGCTGTGTGGCCGTGGGCTTGGAGGC